TATAATCCATGAACTTCTCTAAATTTTTTCAACTAAGCTTTTTGGGAAATTAGGAAATTTTTGGTTAAAAAAACAATTTTGAGGACATTTCTAAAGTATTAATATTTACAGTTCTAATCTCTAAATCTATATTTTAAAATTCTATTAGTATTACTGACCCAATCATTCACATACCCAAAATGTGATATGATGCGTTCAGGTTTTCATGTGCCATACCCTAGGTGGAAAATGGGCTCAAATGCTTTTATCTCGTGTACAACTTAAAATTAACTGGAAGAAGCTCTTTTGTAATGTGATTCAAATCATTTACTTAATTAATATACCTTTTCTTCTTTCTGACTTTTCATCAAAGTCACATTTAAACTCCCATCGCTCCAACCCTCTCACAGGACCGTGTAATCCTATAATATTTTATCTTCATGTCACCAGTACACAGGGAGTGTGAGGGAAAAGAGAGGACCACAAGTTGGCAGTAGTGTGCACAAGCTTTTTGAGAGCTGTTTTGACAGATTTGCACAGTGGAGGTCCCTCTGGGAAGGACCCTATCCAGAGGCTACATTGTGGGTGGCTCAGTTAGCACCAACCCTAAGGAGAGCGAGGCAGCTCCTGGAGGAGAGGAGGACTGGAGAGGGCTCGGTGTCTAGATGATGTACCTCAGCACCACCGAAAAGAGTCTTGATTAGAGAGGGCTGAAGCACAGCAGTGGCTTGAGGTCCTTACAGCAAAAGGATTTACCGCATCCATGCCTGTAAGTTGGGTGTAGTTTTGTGAGGAATACAAAGTAGGCAGGTTCTAAGTGGCTAAATATCTGCTTCTTTGGGCTATGTTTAAAACAATGGATGTGTAAATTTAAGTTTGGCGTCCACAGGCTTTAGAATGGGTGTTCACCTATTATGAGGAAGTAAACAACCCAGATGCCAATACGCAGAGGGAAACTCTGGCTCACTTACAGGACTCAGTGCCCAGCACGATGTGTGGGACACAGAGGGACCACTTACGAATCTGCCAAAAACACACAGTAAAATTGTTTTGCACGATCAAATAACTGTTTAAGTCTCTGGTAACCATCCAATTTGATTCAACTAATAGACGGTAAAAGAAAGCAGCCTGAAGCTCTTAGACTCTGTTTTCGATGAACTTACTGTTATCAAAAAATATCTAATGTACCTGAACTTCTTGGAAAAGTAACACATATTTAGGATAAAATACATCAAAAGGTATTAATTATTATGCTAATTTTTAGGAGTCTGCTATAAGACATTATTTAATATTTGTTTAGAAATAGATGTATCTGCAGCCTTTTGGTGGTCAGTGTGTATCTCAGATTCCTTTCCATTTGCATGAGATTTCTATGTGCCCATAGGCTTGTGATTTCAAAATTAAAGAAATTAGCCTCAAAAGTGTACTGAAATCTTGTCAACTTATAGTAGCATCCCTGGATTTTCTCTATTCTACTTATGCCACTCCTTAGATGCAAATATCCTCATCACATTGATCCTCATGAATGCTCCAGTGGAGCAGAACTGTATGCACAGGAAATAAACACCTTTCACATTGATATTCAGAAACCATGGGTTTATTTCTCTTTATTTAGCAGGACTGCAATTTTTTATGTAAGGGGTACATATTTACTCCACATTGTATTTTTAAAAATCATAGATTTATCTATATATCCAGTTTCACTTATGCACTTGTTTCTAACACAATAGAGCTCACTCAATCCTCATATATCCTATAAAAATAAATTGCATCTTCATAGTCCTTAGTGTAGAGCTGTTATTACTAGAGGTGGTTCAGTGCTTGGTGGGGTAACTGGTGAAGTAATTGGAAAGAGAAGGAGTAGGAATCTGAATGGCAATGTTGAGAATGAAAATCAAGCCATGCTGAAACGTTTGGTAAAACTGCTAGCTACGATAAAGGCCAAAGCAGCCCCTTGGCTTCCAAGCTTTTGCCTTTAGGAAAGATATTAGAAAACTGTAGAACATGATGAATATGGGCTACTCTTTGAAGTGTTCAGCAAGGAACTGAAATAAAATTAAATGTAGGCAAATATTAGCAAGATTGCAAACTTCAGCCTGGGAAACTCTTTAATAGACCTGTATTCCATTCCATCTCTCTTTTCAATGTAAAGTATTTAAGGGCCCAGAAATTCTGGGTCTCCTAGGGTTAGAAAAACTAATTACTTCTATACATCAAACAATAGGAGATAAGTTTATCAGATTTCTTCTCCACAGCCTTGCACTATGAATCTAAATAAGATCATAGGAGTTAGCCCCAAGCACAGAGGAAAGTTCCCTTTTCTCCTCCAAGTCTACTCTATACCTTCTCCCCGCTTCCCTGTGCCCTGGAAAACTTACCCCTACACGGGGCACCATCACAATTTCTTCTCCCTTTGCTACTATTTGACCAATGGGGAAGAAGCAGAGGACTTTAGGGCAGAATAAAGAGATCAAGGTGTTAAATAGTTGCTGTATTATTTTTCCTGTTGGGCAACGTCTTCCCAAGAGATACAACTCTCACTAGTTCTGGTAGAAGTTCCCTTGTCGACCTGTAGGTCTCAAAGAGTCACATTCTGCTATCCTGAATCACTGGATACTTCATCTCCTTCCTACCCACATCTCTATAAAGTCCCTTAGGATCTTTTCCATTACCATACTGAGTTTGCCATCAGTTTCCAGCTGTAACCTTGAAACCAAGCAGTCCTTATAGACAGCCTGCAGGTGTCTTCCATGAAGTTGAGGGTAAGGGCATTGGCCAATCTTGTGGGGCAGTGCAGGAGCTCAGGTCACAGGCTGAAATATATAAACAAAATCATTGTTCCTTCTCTTTTCATTTTTCTTTCCTGATTTCTTTTGTATTATTTGAATGCTTTTTAAAATTTCCATTTTGTTTTATGTATTATCTTTTTAACTACAACTTCTTGTATTTTTTTTTGTAGTCACTCTAGGGGTCAATATGCATTCTTACTTTTCACAGAACTTAGAGTTAATATTTTATCATACACAAAATGTAATTTTTCCCACACATAAAGTAGAAAAATCTCAGAAGTAAATGTTTCCTACTCCTGGCTCTGTTCTTTAAACTAGAATCATTATACACACACACACACAGACAGACATATACACACACACACTCATATATACACACACATATATACATATATAAAATAAATTCACATGTGCCATTATCCCATGATTTAGTGTTAGAATGTTTAATTATTTGTATATTAAATTAAGAGAGAAAATTTTCTTATATAGCTCCTTTTCTAGTCACTATTTTCAGGGCTCTTCAATTCAGCCTCAAGATCACAGTCCAACTTACGTTCTTTCCCTTCAGCCAGAAGGGCAATGTTTAGCGTTTCTTACATTGAGCGGCTGCTCACAAGCCATTTATCTTGTTTTTTATTGACTGAAAAGGCTTCATTTTGCCTTCATCCTTGAATAATGTTTTCTATGGCAATAGAATTCTATGTTTGAAGCTCTCATTCTGTATTTCTTTTAGGACTTTAATGTTATGGTCTGTTGTTTCTGATGAAAACCCAGCAGTCGCTGATACTGCTCCACCTCTGTGGAACATGTTCCTGTCTCTGTGGCATTCACAATGTTCTTGTTATATTTAGTTTTCAGCAGTTTAACCATGACATTGCTTCAGTCACATTTTCTTTCTATTCATCCTGCTTATAACTTATCTTCTTGAACCTGAAAATTTATATTATCTTCAAATTTTGGTAATACCTAATTATCATTTCTTCAGTACTATCTCTTTTTTTGAGACAGGGTTTTTCTCTATTGCTCAGACTGGGATGCAGTGGCACGATCTTGGCTCACTGTAACCTCTGCCTCCTGGGCCCAAGGGATCCTACCACCGCAGCCTCCAAGTAGGTGGAACCACAGATTCCATAATTTTAGGTCCCCTTTTCATTTTCCTCCCCCTCAGGGGTGCCAAGTCTTATGTCAGCCCTTTAGCTGTTGCAGAGTTCCGTGCAGTTCTGTTCATATCTTACCATCATTTTTTCTCTGTATTTTTCAAGTTATATATTTTCATTAAGCTACTGTCAAATGTATCAACTCTTCTTCCATGTCCGTTTTGCTATTAAGTGCATATTTTATTGTTTAATGGAAATTAATTTTTATGCTAGAATTTTCACTTTGGTGTTTCTGTAAACAGTTTATATTTCACTCTGAAAGTTTCTATTTTTTTCATTCTTTATGAGCATATTTTTCTTTACATTTATGATTATATTAATAACTGCTTTAGAATCACTTTTCTGCTTGTTACAATATCTGCACCTTCCATGGGGTTGGTCCCAATATGTCTTAAATTGTCCTTTTTTCTTATTTTGTGTAATTTTGGATTGTAGTTTTCATACCAAGAATGATGTGTTACAAAGACTTTAATTCTATCGTGTTTCTGAAGAGTACCAATATTTTATTTTAACTCAGTTAACTTGATGAAAATCAGACAACACATTCTCAATCTTCTCCCCACAGATGAAATATTCCATGATGAGGCAAACATAGGATAACTATGATTGGCATTTTATTCAAAGGGGAAGTGAAATGGGATTTCACATATATCTTGGTTCCAAATCTCACTTTTAATTACTTGCTCTACAGCTTCAGAGAAAAATGACTCACCAGTTTTAAACCTGCTAGCCATCCTGTAAAGCAGGTGTTAACATTGCCATCTGATTTGGGCAAATAAGGTTCATAGTGGCCAACTGTGTAAAGCACCAGGCACATGACACTTCATCTGACTCCTGTTTCTCCATGCTTTGCTTTCTCTGGCCTTTTGTACCCTGCGCTGTGTCTCTGCCGGGCCTGGTCCAAGTCACCGCCTCACTTGGTCTCTTTGCCTCCTTCAGTTGGCCTTGATCAGTGAGAAGTAATGGCAGGAGGCCTGAGGGTCGATGAAAGGAGAGTTTGGGGAACTCGTTACCACTCCCTTCCCTAGGATACTGCCTTCATTCTGAGTACTTCTCTTCCAGGGTTCCAGATGACCTGGCTCCCTAGGACAACTGTTCAGTTGGTGCTTCCAACACAGAGGTATTCTACAGGTGTCTTCCCAGTCCTGTGGTCCATGCGGGCCGAAACATTCCAGAATCACTTCCCTCATCCTGCCTGCCTCTGAAAATAGCTTCTCCATTAAGTTGTCACTACAGTTATAATTGAGGATAACATGTTTCCTATCAAGAGACTAGACAGAACTCTTCTTTCTCCCTTTTCTTTCTCTATTTAAAAAGATCTTCCCAATGTTTACAGTCATGTGACACTTAACTACTAGGATATATTCTGAGAAATGCACCATGAAGCGAAGTCATCATTGTATGAGCCACATAGAGTGTACTTACCAAACCTAGATAGAACAGATTACTACACACCCAGGATATATAGTGTAGCCAATTGCTTCTAGGCTACAAACCTAGGCAGCAGATTGTAGTCAATTATAACACAACTGTAAATGTTTGTGTTTCTAAACACATCTAAGCACAGAAAAGGTACAGGAAAATAATATAAAATTATAGGACGACTATGATACATACAGTCTGTAGTTAACCAAAACATAATTATACAGGATTGTGCAGTGCATGACTGTACACACACACACATACGTAAACCGACAAAGAAGAATTAAACATACATAACTATTTTCCATTATTGATTAATATAAATGCATTTTAAGTCTTCAAAAATAATGAGGGGCAATTATGGAGCAGACTGAGGATAGAAGCTGTTTTATTCAGTCTTGAGATCAGCCTCAGTTATAACAATGTCATAATTGTTTCCTCATATTTTGTTATTTTTCTGATGTTAAACTATCCTGTAGATGCTAGGGCAATGGGTGCCAAACACATCTTGGCATAGATGAATAGTTTTAAGGGCCTAAAAATATAAAAGTGAAAGAATTATTGCAGATATCTCAAGTGAGGCAACCAGCATCCATCTGCTCTTAAAAGGAAGGACTTCTCTTTTAAGGAGAAAGCATGTGTTCCACCATTCCCCGATGATGCTTGTAGTTCTCGAATCACTTTGATGAACTTGATGCCACAAATAGTCATTTGCATATTATGAATTCCTTTGGCAGCTGGTGGGTGGAATTTTGATGGGCCACCAGTGCTCACTAAGGTACGTTATTCAGAACACGCAGAGAAGTGCCTTAATCTGAAGGAGTGCTGTGCGGTTAACAGCTGCAGCCAACTTCTGCTGTGTTCATCACTGGCTACCTGTAAATAAGTGATAAATAAAGGAGAGCAAAAAAGAGGATTTTCATTCATAAGCTGGTTTTCCAGTCATAAGTGCTATTTCTCACAGTCACTTTCCTATTTCTTAATCTGTTTGGATTATAATTCAGGCAGTGTTGACTTGAGCAACTTCTTCAATCTCCTTGAGCCACAGTTTCACTCTCTGTAGCTTTATTAAGTTGAGAAGTGTGGTAAATAAAAGACAATTTGCAAAAGAAAAACTCATTTTCCTTACTTCATACACATTCTTTGGGGGGTGCTAACTTTTATCTCTAGGGGTTACTGTAAGGGTTAAATGACATGACAAGTATAAAACAAGTAGTAGACACAAAAATATGTTGGTTTACATCTACCGATTTAGTTAATGAGTTAGCTAAATTGTGCTGGGTCATAGCTTTGGAGCTGGAGAGAAGAATTTAAACATATAGATGTTGTGTATTTATATGTTTACATAGATGTGTATATACAAACATGGAACAGAATTTTAGGTGAATTCTTTAATGTTTTTTTTCCCTCTGGTGTTTTACTAAGACCTCATATTAAAAACAAGAACTTAAACACTCATTTTCTACAGAAACTACAAGCTGGACAACAACTCCCTGAAGGAACGCTAAGAGGTAGCAGAACTGGTCTTTATTCCTATCGCTTCCCCCAAGTATAAGAAGAGGTTAATGGAAGGAGAGTGAAAGTAACACAATCCTTTGGGTTATGCCCTATTTTTTGTAAATGATGCACCTTGCATCTGCCCTACAAACTCTGAGGCAAAGAGACTCCTTAGTAGAGATTAGATGCACATTCAGGATGTGATGGGAATCTTCACAGGCAGCTGCAGACAGACAGTCACTGCACAACCTAGGCCTGCTTATTTATTAGCAACTGTGAGAGCTTTTGGATGAGGTGGGCATAATTTCCTCAACTATACGAGGGTATTTGCACCAAAAGGCTGGATAACAGAAGATATGAGGCTGCCAGCAAGGCCAAAAATGGCTCCTAGTAGTGAGTCTGGGAAAAGATTAGGACAATGCTTATCTCAGCTCTGCCGGGCCCTGACATGGCCCCACGTGGTTCCATGCAACTCCACGTGGCATGGAAGGAGACTTTAATCATCCTAGATGGGTTCTGCTTGAGGACACATGGTATTATGAGATGATGCAGATACTGCAGGTCCCTCTAGGAAGTCCTACGTCAGTCAGAACCCACACAGCAGAGTTTGGGTGCATACAGTTAGAACTGTTATTTCTGCAGGCATCTCTGAGGGGCTGCTCAGTGGCTGACACTACCAGGCAGGGTAAGGCTGAATATTAACCCAAGGAAATAATGTGTATCTAGTGGCTACTCAGATAATCTTGGAATATTGCTTAATTTCTGGTTTCAGTTTTCAGAGGTATAAAGTATTTTTTTAAGTATTATCTTCTTTATATGCTCCTGATGAGTTTACAAAGAGTCTAGGACTTAGTAGGCACTATGAAGATATTCTATGTAAGTCCAGAGCTAAGGATGTATAAGCCAAGTATTTGATTCTCTGAGCAAAGAAATTTGCATCATTACTTAATTCAAAAAACTCTAGAAGTTATTAGAGTGGCAAAATAATTTGCCCTAGTCACAAAGTTAGTAAAATTAAAGCATGATCTAAACCCAAATATAATTTGTAATCATTTCCTGGAACTGGGCTCCACAGCAAGGGGTGCTTAATCACTGAAATAATACCAAGTACAACATTCAGCTAATGGGAATAAGAGTATTTTTTGCATATACTCTCAGTCACTAATAATTGGAAATGTTGGCTACTTGTACTTTATGTGTGCATTCTAGGGTATGAGCCTGCTGAAGGATTTTGAGTACATAGCTGTTTTGGAGAATATGCTGATTAAATCTCTGCACTTTACTTGCAATAAATTTTTCCCTGTCACTGAGACTTATGTGATCATAAAGTAAGAGCAATCAAATGAGAGAAGAACTTTGCCCAGGATCCTAAATGTACAATTCCAAGAAACCATGCACAACTTAAATAATTGAATAAGGAACCTCCAATGACTTTGGTACAGACATTTTTATTGCTAGAAAAATCTATTAACACTGTTCAACTCCCACTTAGAGAATTGAAAAGTTAAGGAAACCACTGCCTTTATTTGATTATTAAATTTAGATATCACAAACTAAGCTAAGAAATGAAGTGTTTGTCTATTACATGTCTTGAAAATGGATGCAGCATTTTTAAATAGTTATTTTGCATCAGGCAAAGTAATAGGTCATTCATGCATTATTTTGTAATGTAAACATCTCAGAAACCCTTTGGTGTTAGCAATACCTTCATTTTGCAAATGAAAAAATCTTGAGGATAGAAAGTTACCCAATATCACAAGCCTCGACATGAATATTATGACATGTTTTAAAAATTTCTTTGATAAATTGGTCATTATTTGTGAAAGCCAGAAGACACTCTTTAAGTAGATTTTTGACATATGTTAGATAATTCTCAATTTTACGTACCTAAGTGAGAGAATGATCCAATTATGATTAAACTCAGACCTATGAATAGACATGTAGATGGTTGAATATATATTAAAATTTGAGTCAGATAGAAAATAGCCAAAAATACCAGTCCATTCTTTAAGTTTAGTTCAGCACAAATGTTGAGTATCTAGCATATGGTATAATTTATTCATTTATTATCCTATTAACAAAACTTAACATGTACCTACTATATGTGAAAATAAATTATACAATAGCAGAGATGCCGTAATACATAGTTTCATTATCCAAAACTGACACATGATTAAAACATATACAAAGTAATACACAGAAAATGATCCACAAATGAACAAGGATAGGAGTGGGAAAAGAAAAAAAACAACTGATAGAAGTTAAAATCCCCAAAGTTATAATAACAAAATTCAAAATCATTTTCTAAAATAAAAGCAAAAATAAAATAACACAAATGGTATACTATAACTACTGAACCTGTAAAGGAAAAGTCTAGATAATGCCAAGTGTGGAATAGGATCTGCGCATAGTGAGCTCTCACATATGACCTTTGAGAGTATACTGAGGACTATTCTGCACTTTTCAGATGATTTTCTTTTTACTTCTACACCCCAAAAAACTTTTCACAGAGATCCATGAGAACACTACCAGCATGTCCAGGAAAGAATCATGGATGATTCTAAGGAGCATATTCAGCATTACTACTAGGATAAAAAAAAAACTGCAAATGAGTTTCTATGACTATAATAGTTTATGATGTGTGAGAGAGAAATTTCAGTAGAGAATGCGGACAAAGGAAATAAATGAATGACATAAGAGTGGTGTTTGGCATTGTTAAATAACAAGGTAGTGTGACCTGAGGAATATAACTGAATACGTAGCACATGAAATTGAAAAATAAAAATAAAAATCAGCAACATTTTCTTTTACCTTAGAGAAACCAATTGAAATTATCTTTATAGTAATTCCATTTGCAATATTGGACAGGACTCTCAAGTATATAGTTATAAGCTATAAGCACAAACATGCACACACAATTATTCATATCCTTCATATATATAAAATATGTGTGCATGCACATATAGATAGTGTAAGTGCTTGTTCTGCATATGTATTAGTGTGGGTGTGTGTCTTTGCCACAGACCCCAGCACAAGGTCTGCTGCAGGAAACTCTGATGCCAGGTAATCACTGTGGCTCCAGGACCCAAGTCAGTCTTTATGTTCCCAAGCACCAAGCTGGCACCTGAAGACCTAGGCTCCAGGCTGGCTTCTGTAGCTCCAGGTTAAAAGCTCACACTAGCACCTAGCCAGTCCCCATGGTCCCAGGCTCCAGGCTTCCTCCCTGGCCCTTGGATCTAGGACTCAAGTCTGCCCCACATGATACAAGGCAACAGGCATATCACAAAGGACCTAGGTTCCAGGCCTGCCCCATGAACACAAACTGTGGGCCCACCCCTGCAGACCTATACACCAGAGTGTTCCCTGTGAACTCTGGCTCTAGGCCCACTCACCCACTACTCCAGGTCTCAGGCCAACCTTCCCATGGAACCCCTCAGCCAAAACTATTTCTGAATACCTAGAGTCTAACTGGTGATAAACTTTTTCTGTCAAAAGCAGTCTGTAAAGATAGGGAGAGATACTTATTTTTTCAAATAGGCAGACACCAAATCAAGGTCAGCAGGATCATGAATGATCAGAAAAATTTAATGTCACCAAAGGAAGAAAATAAAGTACCAATAACTGACCTTGAAGAAATGAAGATCTGCAAACTACCTGATGAAACAGTCTCCTTAAAAAATTTCAGTGAGTTACAATTGAACACAGGTAGATAACTAAATATAATCAAGATGACAATACATGAACAAAATTTGAAGTTCAACAAAGAGAAATGAAAAGGAGATAAACAGAAATTGTGGAGCTGAAGAGCACAATTACTGAACTGAAGAACTCAGTAGAGAGTTTCAACAGTAGACTCAATCAAACAAAAGAAAGAACAAGCAAGATTGGAAACAGATCATTGAAATTACCCAGTCAGAGGAATAATTAAAAAGACTTAAAGAAACCCTACAGGACTCACGGGAGCCCATCAAGCAAACAAACATACTCAATTTGGACTTCAGAGGGTCAAAGCAAGAGAAAGGAGTAGAAAGGTTATTTAAACAAATAATGACAAAAAATTGTGATGTCAATGACATATGAGGGGAGAAAGAGGTTAAAATGGAGAATTTTTGTATGCAGCCGAAGTTAAATTGTTATCAGTTTAAAATAAGCTGTTATAATGATAAGATGTTTTATGTAAGCTACGTAGTAACCACAAAGGAAAATCCTGTATCAGGTACACAACACATAAAGAGAAAAGAAAGCATACCACTACAAACATCATCACAAAAAAGACAGAAAAAGAGAAAGGATGAAACAAACCCTCTATGAAACAGTCAAAAAACAATTTTTTAATGGCAATAGTAAGTCCTTACCTTCAATAATTACCTTAAATTTAACTAGATTAAATTGTTCTATCAAAAGACAATGGATACTTGTCTTTCTGTGCCTGGCTTATTTCACTTAAAACAATATCTTCTAGATTTATCGATAGTGTTGCAAATGATGGAATTTTATTTTTTCTTAAGGCTAGATAGTATTTCATTGCTTATATATATATCACATATTCTTATCTATTTATTTGATAATAAACACTTAGGTTGCTTTTATATCTTAGTTACTGTGAATAATGCTGCAATAAATATAGGACTATGAATACTTTCTGGCAGAGTGATTTTAATTCCTTTGGATATATACCCAAAACTGATATTGAGGGATCATATGGTTGTTATATATTGGTTTTCTGTGCATGATTTCACTGTATGTAAAATCTAAATAAAAACACTGAACTCATAAAAGTAGAGAATAGAATAGTGGTTAACAGTCTGGGTTGAGAATTTGAGGGGAACAGGAGAGATGTTAATCAAAGGCTCAAATATTGTCTAACAAAGGAAATAATCCTTAGTGATCTGTTGCACAGAATAGTGGCTAGAAAAAAATAATGTGATGTATATTATAACATGTTATTGCTAATAGATATTTTAAATGTTTTTATTACAAAAAATAGTATGCAAGGTAATGAATTTGTTAATGAGTTTGATTTAATCATTTCATAATGCAAACATCTATTAAGACATCACATTGTACTTCATAAATATATATTATATATACAATTATTAATTAAAATAAAACTGTCTATATAATTTATTTCTATAGACATATTTCTATACATATAATTATATAAATTTATATAATTACATATATATGACAATTAATGCATGGCTGAATGAATTAAAAAACAATATGATTCAATGATATGCTGCCTACCAAATATTTACGTTGGCCTTAAGAACACGTGTAGGCTGAATATAAAGAGATTTAAAAGATATAAATGGAAAACAAAAGAGAGCAAAGATGGCCATGCTTATACCAGACAAAATAAACTTTATGTATGTGACAAGCCCACAGCTAATATCACTAACCATACTTAATGGTGAAAAGCTAAAAGCTTTTCCTCTAAAATCAGAACAAGACAAGGCTGTCCACATTTACCACTTCTAGTCAATATAGTATTACATGGTTTTGCTGTGTCCCCACCCAAATCTCATCTTGAATTTTAGCCCCCATAATCCCCATGTGTCATAGGAGGGACCCAGGTGGAGGTAATTGAATCATGGAGGTGGTTTCCCCCAGGCTATTCTCATGATAGCTAGTTCTTACAAGATATGATTGATTTATAAGGGTTTCCTCCTTTGCTCAATTCTCATTTTTCTCCTTCCTGCCGCCATGTGAAGAAGGATGTGTTTGCTTCCCGTTCTATCATGGGTGTAAGTTTCCTGAGGCTTCCCTAGCCCTGTAGGAGTTTGAGTCAATTAAAACTCTTTACTTTATAAACTACCCAGTCTAAGGTATTTCTTTATAGTAGCATGAGAATGTACTAATACATGGTATAAAAAGTTCTATGAGAAGCAATTTGGTGATTAAAAAAAAAAAAGAAAAAGGAAATAAAAGACATCTAAATTGGAAAAGAAGTAAAATTATCTGTTTATACATGACATGAATGTGTACACAAAACCCTAAAAACTTCTCTAAAAACTTGTTAGAACAATAAATGTTTATTTTTAATGTCCATCCTCATCTCCTTTTTAGATATATGTAATGTCTTAGCATATTGTTTTTTATTTCAATTATTAAAATGTTAGTTAAGATAAAGTTAAAAATAATATTTGTATAAAGAACAAGATGCCTTCAAATTTTGACCAATGTTATTTTCAGGAAAAAGGCTCTTTAGTACTTTTAGAATTGAGGAAAATAAAGTATCATTCTCCATATAGAGTCTGATCTTCATAATGTTAATGTCTGTGTTTTTATGGGCATTGTATTGTGCTGTTTCTTATTTCTATTTATTCTCACTATGATAACATGTTCTTTAGTGTTCTCTGAGTTTGATTTGTGATCTTGCATTTGGTAGGGCTATACCTGAGCATATCCCAAGGATAGGGCTACCTACAAAAAACACAAATTCTTCCTTTAATTTATTTATTTGTAACAGTTCTGTTTCACAGGCTGGAATGCAGTGGCACAATCTCAGCTCACTGCAGCCTGTACCTCTCAGGCTCAAGTGATCCTCCTGCCTCAGCCTCCCAAGTAGCTGGGACTACCTGTGTTTGCCACCATACCTAGCTAATTTTTGTATTTTTTGTGGAGACAGGCCTCACTACATTGCCCAGGCTGGTCTCGATCTCCTGAGCTCAAGTGATCCACCTGCCTCAGCATTACAAAGTGCTGCAGTTACAGTTGTGAGCCACCCTGCCCAGCCAAACGCTTTCTTTTAACTGCTGGTACTAAGCACCATCAATTGTGTACTGCTTTATTTTCTGAGATTAGCATGTTTCTGGCCCACACTATGGTCTAAGTTGGACCCATCAGCCCATGTGCGAGTAGAAGACATTCATTCATCCACTTACTCATTCACTGACCTATTATTGCAAGAGTGTTTGGGGTGAAGAAACAGTTCTCTCATATCTTTGGTTGGTGATCATACTTTTCTCTGTTTCCTGTGTTCACTCAGCATGGCTCTCTTGGGTTTGGATTCCTGTGGTGTCCTCAGTTTAAGCTCCACTACATGAATGAATGACAGACCTTAGGTCCTTTCTGAGCAGGAGCATTCTGTCCCATGTCCCTGGGCCATGATAAGTCCTGGGCCATGTGATTCTTTTGCTTAGGGCTGTTCTAATGATAGGTTTGAATTAGTTATCAGA